ACGCGTACCACAGTTTGAGAACCACTGATAGCTGATACCAAAGAGCTTCTTTCATGAAACAGCTGGATGAGATCCTTGGATCAATTAGCTACTTACTACCAAACAGTATAATTGGGCCAAACGTCCTCCTCTCATTTGTAACCTTTCTTATGTTTTATTTTCATTCCAAAGAATCTCAACATTATTTTAACAAATCACACATTTAATGGATTCCAACTGAATTGCTTCAGGTCTTTAAAAACTTATGATGGACTGGGACTCTCAAGGATCACATTTGGAGTCTCCAGCCTTAGAATAGGATACCTTGATACTTGATCTGATTGTCTATCTTAAAATATACAATAAATATAAAATACCTAATCCCTAATTTACAAACTAGAAAGCATCAAAGAATGTTTTATATTTTTGCATTAAAACATTAATATCCTTAAAGTGTTAATAGTTATTGAACCATGAATAGTAGTTTGGCTAATGTTTTTCTTAGGCGATGTCTGTCATATTTTTTTCAGGATAAAGCATCATTGCACTGAATTTGTGCATTATCTGGGTTTTCATGGGGATTAGGGAAGGTGTTCAGTTTGCAAATCAATCATGTAACTTGTAACAAAGAACTATATGTTTCTATTCTTCTGTGTAACCAAGTTATGTTCATGAAGGTTGAAGAATGAACAAGGTAATAAGAATAGTTATAGAATATGGTGCCAATTTTAGACAAGGAAGAAACAGAAATATTATTTTATAACAAATCTTCCTCATAAATGGTCCATATTGTTTTAAAGGTTACTCCCTTAAATTGAAAATATCACAGCAGAACATGATACTTTATGTGGTATACCCTGTGAATAACGTTATTTTTGTTGGAGGCTACTGCAACAGGCAGTGGAAAATGCTGGATTTATCATGAAATACCGGAAAAGCTTGTCTGATGTTTCATGGTGTTATTCAACAGAAGTTCTGGAGGAGGTCAAATTCTAATATCACGCTTCCACTCTGCTGTGTATAAATGCTCCTTGGCTGCCCACAACTCTGCACGCCACTTTTCTAGCACTCTGCATTTCAGTCTTGAGGCAGACGTCTGTCATACTCAGCAATACTGAGACCTTACCCATATCATGTTTGCCTCCAACAAGCTAGTGCCAGAATCACTTTTTCTTTTCAAATAAACAGCCCTTCAACCTCACATTCTCCATGAGAAACAACCAGCTTTGCACCTGCCACGCTGTCTACTCTTTCATCATTTCCTCAAACCGAACAAACCGAACAAATTTCCCACTTCGTCTCCCTTCTCCCCCCCTCTCTCATCTCCTTATCCGACTTGTTCTGCTCTCATTCCTTCCCCCTTTCAATTTCTGTTCAAGCATCAAACTCACCACGCCTACAGCCCCAGCCTATCTTCACTGTTTCATCTTTCCTCTTTTCCCAAGCCTGCTTTTCATTTTCCCTGTCCCCATCCCACCACACCTTCCCCCTGGTTGCTAACCCTCAGTTCAACCTGCATATGGGCACAACATGAATTTACAGTGGGTCCAGGTCTCCTCATTTACAACTCTCATCATTCCAGTTACCCTTTATCCCTCTCTGCTGTAGTCCATCAACTGCAGTATTGGCCCTCCACTATCCCCTCTCAAAGCTTCCACCCACTAACATTGCTGATATGTCTTCCTCTTTTGGGGTTCTGCTTGGAATATATCCTCATCTAGTAAACTTCAGCAACGGATAGCTCTACTCATTGCTTCCTACTTCCACACCAGGCTACTCTTCCTGGTCATTGCAGTGTGTTCCTCTTCCCACCGCAGAGTTCCTGTCTCAAGCTAGGCGCTGCTAGTGCTAGCTGATGCCACATGTCTGCTGACTGGTATTTCATCAGCTGCATCATATGTGCTTCTCATTTGCTTCATTCTTCATCAGTATTACTTCAAAACATTGCATATGCAAATCTACTTGATCAAACAAGCTCAAGCCTGCATTATACGTGCTTCTTATTCGTTCCATTCCATACACAATTTCGTCTTGGGTCCAGCAGAACATGCTGCTGAACCAACTTGCCCTTAGCTCAGTGTTTAAAATCCGCGTCAATGTTTTGGGCATCCTTCTGGGGGGTTGTGATAGCACTGCTCTTCAGCTGGCACTATCATTTCCTCAGACAATTAAGATTAGATAGCTTATATCGTCATTATTAGAATTTGACCAAACTACTGAAATGAAAGAAAATTAATTGAAGCAAGGAAGAATTTTGGAAGCAATATATTAAAAAAATATGCATCTGAAATTAAGTTTATTTATATCCAGAGTGTGCAGCTTCCTTACTATTTAGAATGATAAAACATGCCAACAGCTCCCTCCTCATCAGTAGTCTTCATTTTCTAGTCCACCTTCACAACCACCTTCAGATTCACAGATGCTAAAAGAAATGGCAGGCAAATTAAGTGCTTATTTAATTATGTTTTCCTGCATGTGTCCTAACACATTTTAGAAATGTTCTCTAAAGTGCTTGACATCCTACTCAATTTAGGCTTTGTTTTTTGTTGGGGTTTTTTTGTGAAAGGTGTAAACTTTTGTTGCAAATTAAACTCATGCTTCCAATCACTCTCAGGCAGATAAACAAGCTAAACACTGTTCTTGGCAATAGTTTCTCAGAGGGAAGATGTATTCAGAAGTCATGGTAATATGTACAGCCTGTTCACAAGACTTGGCTAATGTGCAGTCCAGATATACAATTTTAAAAAGTAAAAATAAACATTATAGAACATTAAACAAAAAGTAGAATCCAAGGATACCTACAGTAGTTTACATTGTTGAATGTTTTAACGTGTCCCTTCAAAGCTCAAAGGTTTGCTGATGTCTTATTAATAGAATACTAAAAAAACATGTTTTGAAAGACAGAAAGACAGTTCATTGAGCAATTGAAAATAGGATTCACACATTAGGAAAGACTGAGTATGGAACCTAACCGATATTTTAGCCTTGGGTGATATTGTCATATACCTTAGAAAATATAAACATAACAATATTTTATTCTGTTCTTTGGTATTCTGAAAGCATTCACCCAATGCTGTTAAAGGTAAAATCTTTTCTCAAACATTTTGGAGACTCATTAGTTACTCAAACTGAGTTAGAATATAAAGTCAAGCTTCACAATTGAGACACCTAGCAAAGATGCGTGTGGAACCTCAAGGACCCTAAAAATTGAACTGCATTACTCCAGAGAGGACTAAAACAAAATGGAGCAGAGTAATAGTATGTCAAACAATAACTGAAAACTTTTTAAGTTTTGATCTAAAATTTGATTTAAAATCAAATTTGAGAAATGACAACATTATAAAATTGGCAGTAATATGTTTCCAATAAAATAAGCAGAGAAGAGAAGAGACCTTTCAAACTCAAATACAGCAGTACATTCCATTAAAAAAGATTGTAAGAACATCTTCTAATGTGTATTTCTTTATTTTAATGACTTAGTGTAAATGCTAAGACCCCAGTTACAGGTGAGTCTGCTTCATTGTGGCCATGTTTGTATTCTACCCAGTAGGCAGGAGGTAACAGCAGACTGTGAACAGAATTGTTTTCTTGTTTTTTCATTCTTTAATACTCTCACTTCGTTTTTTCCTGCTGTTTCTTCACTTCCCTTGTTGCCTTCCTGTAACCACCTGTCAAACCCCTTTTTCCTTTCTGGTCTCCCATTCTTCCCCCTCCCTCCCTTCTCCCTGAATGAAAGTCGACCAGACACCAGCTTTATCTGGTTCATGAACCCCCTGAAGTCCATCCGGTATTTCATCTGGCACAACTACCGCTGGCTGATCCTGAAAATCTTAGCCTTGGTCCTGCTCCTCCTCATGGTGGGGCTCTTCCTTTACTCCATGCCTGGTTACCTGGTCAAGAAGCTGCTGGGAGCGTGAGGAGGAATGCAAAGGGTAGCCCTCTTACCCCACCACTCTCTCTTGCTCTCTCCATCTCTCTGAACGCCATCTGTGTCTCTCCTCATGCTTCTGCCCTGCCCAGCCATCAGGTGTTTCAGTACTTTTGTGTGAAAGTGTTTGGAAAACCAAGGAAAAAGAAGGTTGTTGGACCCTCCCTCCTTTTTGTTGTATATTTTCTTTATACTTTTTTCACTTTAGCTTTAATGATTTAGAATTACATCAGCTGTTTGGAACTTATACCACAGGGTACTGTATGTGTTTGCCCTTTTTTCAACTAAAAAGATTGGAATCCAAACTAGGCAAGTCTTAAAGTTGACATGGGTGATGGCCTTTTAACCAGGTAGCTAGAGAGAGAATGGAAACCCTCAGCTGGAAAATTCCAGAATAAAACTGTTCTTGAATAAGAATGTGATATAAAATATTTTCATTTTATAAAGTTGTGGTGTCCTAAATTTGATGAATACTTCAGAAAATATACACATTTCATTGAATGCCTGTAGACAGTTTGCATGTCCCTCTCAATCTCTTTAACAACTGGATGTCAGCAATCAAATGGATTTGATTACGTACAATGGCAGAGCCATCATTAGTGAAGATATGTTATAATGATAGAATTGTGATAAATACTGTATGTCTGAAACTGATAATGTATTTTTTTAATTATAATAATGATAATGCAACACAATTTTGCGTTTGGGTGCTAAAATAATGTATTACTTAATTTAAACTGAAATAAGAGATTAGTTATGATTAAACAGATTGCTGTCTTGGGTTTGTTATACTACTGTATGTTAGTAAAACCCACAACTCTTTTGGTCTTCCACTTTTAATAAAATACTTTACTTTCCATAAAGTTAATGGGGGTATATTATTTTCAATCATAAGTCTGTCATAAGAGCTTTTCTTGTCTTGAAATATGAGTGTTGGTTTTAGATGATGCTCAATCCATGGAAACTGTGGTTTAGAATTGCATGCTTACATAAAAGGGTGAAGAGACTACTTATTGATCTGAAGAATTTGCTGCCTCTCATTTCTCATTAATATGGCTTTCATCCCATCTCAGAATCATTTTATAGCTGTTTGTTCTTTCAGACTATTTACCTGTCCTAAGCTTTACAATACAGTAGATGTTTCATACCATTATCTTACAATATTCAAACTCACCTAAACAATAGAAAAGTTCTGTTGTGGAATACATTTTCAAGAAGAAGTAGTTTTGTAGTTATTTTTTTCAGAAGAAAGTGAAAAATATTTGGAGTAAGTGATAAATACTTTGAGGAAATATTCTAAATTCCTTAGTTATGCCTTCAGTCTGGCAATCAAATACATACTGTACCTGTTTATTTGACTCTCATTACAAATTGCTGTAAATGGGATAGATTTCTTTAGAACTAGAATAGTTAATGATTGTTGTAGTAGTAATTTGCCAGGTCTGCATTCATTTTTATACTTATTACCGTGAAGTATATAGAGTGCATAGTATTTACATTTATGTCAATAAGACTGAATTTAGCATAGATAAATGGAATACTTAATAATCTTAATAGTAGTCTCTATACCTGATTCCTTTCCTACCTATTCTAAATTGAATCTCCATGTATTATATAATATTGCTAAGTCACTTGTTTCAATTGAGATTTCCTACATACAATAAGATGCAAAGGGTAGTGTGGGATTAGTTGGCCAGGGCTCTTGCTGCTCTGAGTGACACAGCAATACGGTGTGGTCAGTTGGCAATGAGGCCACTACGGGGCTGTCAGGGGTGCCTGTCAGAGGAGTCTGGCCGTACTTCCTCATTCTACCTGGTGTGCAATCGCGGGGTTCATAGCTACAATCTGAAACATGAAAACACACCCTAGCCCTAGCTCTAAAACAGGGTGTTACATATGGCTTTGAATAACAGAACTGCTTAACTGCTATAACAGCCTATTGTCTACTAACTACTAACCTGGTCAACTTTGTGTTTTTTTTTCTTTTGCTTTGTAACTGCTTCACTGGACAGCCGGCCAGACACCACTTTCCTCTGGTTCCTCAACCCACTCAAATCTATCCGATACCTCATCTGCAACCGCTACAAATGGCTCATCATTAAGATCGTACTGGCCCTGCTGATGCTGGCCATGCTCGGCCTCTTCCTCTACAGCATGCCTGGCTATATGGTGAAGAAGCTGCTGGGAGCTTGAGGGGTTTTAGGAGGGCTGGGCAGCACAGCCCTCACTTTCAGACCCACCTGCTTTGGACACTTGCAATGAATGGGACCTAACAGTTTTAACATTTCCACCATCAAACAAACAGTCTTGTCTATTTCTGCAAGTGCTCTGTGCTTGACTTATTTTTCCTGTGCTTGTTTCAAATAAAAATTGGTATCTGCATTTTTTACAACAGTTAATGCTGCCGATTGTCAACAAAAACAAATGCTTCTGGTACACTTCCTGCAAAAGCCGTGTATTTTGTGCTTTGAAATGAAAAGCTTTTTTCTGTAACAACATCACATAGTGGGTTTTTTAGATATATTGGGTATCCAGAGGACTTGTGCAATGTAGAGGCAGTGCACTCTGTACAGGTGAAAAAACTGCACAGTGGGCACTTTCTTCAACAGCAGCACTAGATTCTGTGTGGTCTTTCCGTTAGCCTTTGCACTGCTTGTTCCTATATTTCAGTAATTAAAGTACCTTGGGAGAAAAGAGCTGTTAAAATGTGTTAATCAAAATATTTTGGAATAAGAGTTGTTTTTTGTGCATTTAAATTGGGAAACTCTTTTTAAAGGTTACATTTTTCCAACTTGTGTTTTAAAACCAAAAAAACTGCTGTGTTTCTTTTTGAAACCTGAGTATTTAGTACTGTATACCCTCATCCATGTCTCAACTTTAGTTTCTGCTGCTCGTAACTGTGGCATTTTCTCATCTCTCTTAATATGGCCAGTATTTTACATTGTTAGAGCATCGTTCAATGGATTACTAGTAGTTTTAAGATTTGTAGTAGATAATATACTCCCAAGTCAATCATAAAATACATAATATATGATGTAATATAAATAAGTGCACTAGACAATATTAAAATAAGCATGTCGATGTATTTACAGAATGAGCCTCACACATAAGTAGATATTAGGGCAAGATAAATGCAAAGTAAAGGTTAAAGGCTTTGCATAGGTGTAAATTCTAGATTTCAGTGTTCAGACATTGTTGTATGCAGTTTGCACTTTATTCTCATAACCACTTTGTTCCAAAATCATGACCAAAGCCAATGCTTGCCTTTCTGAAGAAAGTACAATCCATATCCACTCACTCACGTGGCACATGACATTGATAAATGTAGTTCAGTATGTTACCTAACTTCTTAAAGCACAAAACCATTTAAGAATGGATGTGAAATGGACCAAGGGGAGCATCATTTCCCTTGAAATGAACATGGGCAGAGAAAGGAGACACAGCAGTGTGACTTCCCCCTGGTTTGCTGTGTGCACTTCTTTTGACAGTGTGCTCTTGTTTGAATTGTAGCTATGTACGATTTGTATTGTTTTCAATTGGTTTACCAGCTCATTGCATTGACTACAAAAAAAACTTTGTTTGCACTGATTTTAGCTTGTTTATATTGGGAAAAAAAGAGTCTGTATTTATATATTTCTCTGGTCTACAGTGTGCAATATTTTTGTTTGCCTGTATTACATTATTGATGATGAATAAATAAATGAAACCATGATCTGTCTCACCAGTCGCCCTAATACCAGCTTGTCCTGGCTTCTGAGCCCTTTGCGGATCGCCTGTATTCTCCTATGGAGGGACTACAAGCTGCATTTTGTGGGATTCATCATCAGCCTGTTGCTGCTCATCTTCATTGGCCTGGTGATTTACTCCATGCCTGGGGCTATAAGTCAGAAGATCTTTAACGCTGGAAGATAATGCGAGAGCAGAAGGTTTGCAGACCTGAATCACATTTCAGAGACATCTGAGAGGACAGTGATATATGAAAACTAGAGCAAACACTTGGCTAGTAATCTGTTTCTTAATTGAACTCTTTACTCAATGTTAACACACTAACCCCGTCTTACAGTAGGATGACAGGTCATTGAGGTATGAATTTAGAAAATAGTAAGAAGTTTTATTTGCACTCCTATGTTCATTTATTTGTAAACCTTGAATATGAAGTGAGAAAAACCTCACAAGCTCTTTAAAAAAATGTGTGCACGAAATACGGTGTGATCCAGTGGTCTTAATCATGCCTGTACCCCCACAACCTCATGGTTTATTGAAAGACAGAAGGAAAGGTACTCTGCAGTACTAGCTATCAGGAATATTTCCATATGTAGATGCTGGAGCATTCAGAGACCATCCATCAAAACATCACAACAGAGCTAGGTACACCCACATCAAATTAAATCTATGACCTTCTATGGCAATCTTTGATCAACATCTTGCAAGTACCTGTGGGAACTGCTCAGGTATGTACGTCAACGTGAGCCACTGCTATGTGATCTTGCTGATCTCACAATTGCTTTACCAGTTGAATGGAAGACTGTCCCTCTTACCTATGTGTAAAGACAATCTAATGTTCTGAAGCCAGAAACTCAAGACATTGATCCATGGCAGTAGGGTGCCTCACTTGAATGCACTTTGTAATCTCATACTGTGGTTAACTGTTGAACCTTTTTTTCTCAAAAACTATGAAATCATCTCATAGCTTACATCTAAAAAAATGTTTTATTTCATGTGATGTTAAGCTTGAATGTGGGGTTATATCTGTAAACTGTCCTGGTATATTTGCAGAAAAATTATTTCCATTGCCAACACTGTAGGCGAAAATTAAAATATTTGTAGAGAGAGGAGGAAAGTGAAAAATAAAAATTAAGAATTTTAGAGCCAACTATCTTGTGAGATATAATCTTAGTGTTTTTAGATCTTGGCCTTTCTCCAAGACATTAACATAATTTTCCTTCTGCTCAAAAATCAAGAGTTCAGTTTTATACAGATACATATTATTTTGTATAAAATATTGATGCTGCTTTTTTCTTACGTATAAAGCTTATTTGAAATCACTAGTAAATACTATTCAGTGTTTGGCCATAAATATTAATAATGATTGCACACATTTCAACAAAGTGATTTCCACAGAACAGGTTGGAGTGCTATCACTTTTCTCTTTTAATAAACATAAACCTTACTTTGTGGTGTCAGTATCTTTTTGTGATTCGGACTTCTCTTTCGTCAGATTTCCTCACTTTTTGCGAAGTTCGAGAAATGTCTGCTTGTAAAGCCATGTGCCTTTTTACATCACATGATGACCTAGTAAAAGGCACATTGCAAATTCTAATGCCATGAGCTTTTATACACAATAATTCATGACTATCTTATTTATCTAAGAAAAAAATGATGAAGATTACTAGTGGCAGTAGTGACCCCAGCAGAATTTGACTGAGGAGGATAGTCACAGTAGATTTCAATGTAATTGAATAGATTGTCATTGGAGTGTCTGAATCTGCATATGGCAATAAGCTTTGAGAGCAAGCTGAGCACACGTAAGAGAAACAGTACCTCACTGGGAGTGGAAGCTAGCAGTTGATTAATGGGAGACAGGGAGACAGTGTGCGCTGCCTGGGTGTAACTTTGTGTCCTTGCACAACATTTGTATGTTTGTTTTTATTATATTGTACTGGGTAATCAGTTTAATTACCCCAGATTAGACACTGGGGTACTAGAGTCTGCTGTTTAGTTAGAGCTCATAGAGAATTAGGTGTTCGTCGTTTAAAATATTGTTACATATATTGTTGCATAACACAGTCTTTCTGTTCCAACACAAGGGAGTATCTTCCACTTATTATAAATCCATAGTGTGGGGTGATGTGAAGTATCATTTCCCTATTATAGAAAACTTTATACATATGTTAATTATATTTAAACATAATACAGTATAAAACGAATTATTTGTACAATCGCATAAATAGTGCCCACATTACTAAATGCTTTCCTCCTTAGTTACTGGTCTTTAAGTCATGTGGAAACACTTTTCTTCAGGTTTTAGATTGAACTGATTTTCTGCAAGTGGAGTTATGCATGGTGTTTCCTTAAAGCACATACCACTATAAATATATGGCAACAATTACAAAAAAAGGTTTTAATACTATTCAAAATTATTTTTACCATGGGATCAATTTGGTGTAATTGTATATATTTCCCAATGATGCACATATAGTTATAACAATCCTTATATAAAATGTGTATATATAATTCATTACTTAAATTGACCTTCTTGGGGGATAAGTATTTTGAATGTTCTGTCCTAATTTTTATTTTTCTTGCAGTTTGGAACCCCCTGCTGGTCATTTGTGTTAGTAACAGATTGGCTGCATTAACTTTATGGTGCTACTTGCTCTTTAACCTTGTGAACAAGAAGGAACAGGAAGTTTGTTATTGGTTAGCACGTTGTGAGTAATCAGCTGCAAATATTTCAATCTGCTGTCATCCTCTTGACAGTGCCTATTCACTCTTAAATCAAAAGTTGTGAAATGCGCTTTCATTTCTGAAATTATACCTAAAAAAATTAAAATATTTTTTTCACATATTAGATGGTAAGATCAAAAAGAAGAAGAAAACAAGCTTACACTTATATAGCACTTTTTTGGACACTCCACTGAAACCGCTTTACAGGTAATGGGGACTCTCCTCCACCACCAAGGTGTAGCCCCACCTGGATGATGCACACAGTACACTCACCACACATCAGCTATCAGTAGAGAGGAGAACAGAGTGATGAAACCAATTCATAGATGGGGATTACTAGGAGTCCATGATTGGTAAAGGCCAATGGGAAATATGGGTAAGACATCAGGGTAACACCACAACTCTTTTTGAGAAATGGCTATTTTTAATGACTAGAGACAGTCAGGTCCTGGGATTTTTTACAGTATAATGTCCCCATCACTATAGTTGAGTATTAGGACTCAGACTGCAAGGTGAGCACCCCCTACTGACCACACTAACACCAATTTCAGCAGCAACCTTAGTTTTTCCCAGAAGGCCTCCCATCCAGGAGGCTTCCCGTACTGTTCAGGCTCACACCTGCTGAGCTTCAGTGGGCTGCCAGTTATGAGCTACAGGGTGATATGGCTGCATATGGTAATAAGTAATGTTTCCTTTTACATACTTACCATGTAACTGTTGTTGCAGTTACTTGTGTCAAACCAAAATATATTGCATTGTATTTTAGGCTTTACAAGTGTAAGAATGTCATTTGTCCCATCTTGTTCTGTTTGGTTGTTTCTAACTGGGTTTCAGACAGTAGGCTTCAATGGATAGCTGTGTAGTTCATGCACACACCCATGTTATATTGTATAACAAAGGTTATTAGCCCTAAAAGTAGTCCCACAAAAGCATACATACAAACCCAACATAAGGTGAAAAAGTGCTGTCTTTAATAATCAGTGACTTAACAATGCAGAAAGACATTGAGCAGTGCCCTATGGAACCAAGAAGATTTTAATATGAAGTACATTAATCCATACTGAATATTGAAGTAACCAAAAAGCAAGATCCTACAACAATTTACATGGTGGTGTTCAGTTCCAAGCAGGCTCAAGTTGCATCACTTGTGTCGGTGGAATCTCCAGCTCAGCATTCACCTGTGAATAAAGGCTGAAGTATTAGGTAATTCACAAAGAAAAAAAACAAAACAATTGTAAAAACGCAAAGAAAAATAACAATATATAGGATATAATTGCTATTTCCTTTAGAGATCTATGTGAAACCCGTGTATCTAGTTCAAGTTCAAGTTTATTGTCATTATAATCATATACAGGTGTATGGTATAATGAAATGCTATTTAGCTAGCTCTCAGACGATACGTACTGTAGTACAAAAACAAACAACAATACAATTGTATAACAAAAGAAAGACAGAGACAACAGGCAATGTGCAAAACAACAACAGGCAATGTGCAAAACAACAAAAAGGTAACAGGTAATGTGTAAAAACAACATCAAATGTGCAAAAACATGCATCAACAGAATGAAATAAAAAGATAGAAATTATGGGGAGTAAGCTTTTTGACATGTAAGGTAGAGGTAGATTTCAACGTGTGAGTTTTTGGTAAGAAAGAAGGCACTGTGAGGTTCAGATCATAGGTGAGAGGTGAGGTGAGAGTGAGAGAGGCTGGGAGTTTGATAGTGCAGGGGTAAAAACTATCTCTGAGTCTGGTAGTCCAGGCCCGAATGCTCCAGTACCGTTTTCCAGATGGTAGAGGGTCATATAGTCTGTAGCTGGGATGTGTGAGGTCTTTGATGATGCTTAGAGCTTTCCTCAAGCACCGTCTGTCATAGATTTCCTGTATAGATGGGAGGGCAACCCCAGTGATGGACTGGGTAGTTTTCACCACCCGCTGTAGGGCTTTGCGTTCAGCAATACTGCATTTGCCATACCACACTGTGAAGCAGCCTGTCAGTGTGCTTTCTGTAGTGCATCTGTAAAAGTTAGTGAGGATCTTGGGACATATCTTAGCCTTCTTCAAAAGTACAGGCGCTGTTGCACTTTCTTGATCAGACAGGTGGCATTGAGAGACCATGTAAGGTCCTCGGTGATATGGACGCCAAGGAATTTAAAATTATCTACCCTTTCCATTTCAGTCCCGTTGATATGGATAGGGGCATGTCAATTTTGCAGTTTCCTGAAATCAACGATCAGCTTTTTGGTGAGGGTGAGGTTGTTGTCTTCACACCATGTTGTAAGGAGATTTACCTCCTCCCTGTAGGCCCTCTCATCATTGTCTACAACTGTGGTGTCATCTGCAAACTTGATGATGAAGTTGGTGTTGTGTTTGGCCTTACAGTCATGGGTATAGAGGGAGTAGAGTAATGGACTAAGCACACACCCCTGGGGGACCCCAGTGTTCAGAGTTAGTGTGCCAGAGGTGTGGTTTCCAAGCCTGAAAGCCTGAAGTCTGCCTGTCAGAAAGTCCCGAACCCAGTAGCAGAGGGTGGTGTTGAGACCCAGTGCACTGACTAGTTTCTTTACTAGTTTCTCTGGAATGATGGTGTTAAAAGCTGAGCTGAAGTCGATGAATAGTAGTCTTGTGTATGTGTTCTTTGTAGTCTTGTGTATGTGTTTGGAGTGGTGTCCTTAATGTGCTTCATGACCAGCCTCTCGAAGCACTTCATGATGACAGGTGTTAGTGCCATTGGTCGGTAGTCATTAAGACATGTCACTGTGGTTTTCTTTGATATTGGGATGATGGTGGTTGTCTTGAAGCAGGTGGGGACTACGGCTTGGGCCAGAGACATGTTGAAAATGTCTGTGAATACACCTGCCAGTTGATTGGCGCAGGCTCTGAGGACGCGACTGGGTATGTCATCGGGTCCTGCAGCCTTGCATGTGTTCACTTTTGGCAGCGATCTAGAGACAGTCAGGTCCTGGGTTTTTTTACAGTATAGTGTCCCCATCACTGTATTTGGGTATTACGACTCACACAGACTGCAAGGTGAGCACGTATACTTGAACGTATACTTCATGCGTTCCTATACTATACCCATCAAGTAAGTTTTGAACTACAGGCTCAGAAACAGCAGTGACTGTTGCATAGGCAGCTTTAATTGTGTTATGACATAGCTGCATCTATTTACAAGGCTCTTTTTGAAGGATAAAGAAACATACTGTTTCACTTACAGTATAACATCCTGCATCTCACTAGTACAGAGAGGAAAATTATTTTTCTTGGTGAAAAAAAGTTCATTTTTTACTATTATTTTTTCAAGCAGAAGGTGATTAATTCAATTTAGTAACTTCACATTTGAATTCACTTGTTCCAGCATTAGTGGTCTGGCTTAATTATTTATATGAAGAGTCCCTCTGCAACACAAATAGCTCATAAGCAGGCAGAGGGTTCCAAAAATATTATTACAATAGAATGTTGTGCTTCATTTTGAACATCCAGACAACCAAGTTAGATTATTGTTGCTTACAGTGACTTCAAATAGCAATCAACAGACATTTTTGCAGCATAAATGTCTCTAGCCATGCCAGCTGTTATAG